CCCTCCCCGATCATTCAAAAAATAATGAAAATCCATACAAAACTCGGGAACATCACCTGAACCCAGCAGTTCTGCGCCATAAATTTTGATGGATATCGTCAAATATTTCAGCTCACCACCCAAGTATTCCTGCGCGCATAAAAATTATAATACAATAATCAATTGTTTAAAATTAAGAGGATACTTTTTCAACGGTCAGACAATACTATACAGACTTCGCAGAAAATCTTGAACTACAAGTGTGCCGATAAGCATTGTACAAGTGTACATCACGATTTCACGAATCGTCGAACTTCAAAAAAATTCAAAAATGTTGGTGATAATTATTCATGCATAAAATCGTCCCTACAGAATAAAGGACAACGAAAAGGGAAACGAATTGACTCGTATTGTAATCATACAGGTAAATATATTTCCACACAAATAATCACAATTTTGACACAATTGATTAAATACTCCATAATTTATACTGGATATTGTTGATCAAAGACCTAGCTGAACAGCAGTAGCAATAAACTGTACTTCTACATTATTAGCGGCGTATCCAGGGATTGCAATAGATATTTTTTTCATCGAAACGAATTGGAAGTTTTAACTTTTCAAGGTGCTGCCAGCAATGCCAAAACCCCTGCGAGAAAAAAATGCATCTCTTACTCTGCATTTAGCCACCAGCTTATTCAGGAACGTCATCTAACCTCCAAACATTTCTGGGATTTCTCATGTCGTAGTGCGAAAAATATAAAAAGCATGTTTCGGATGGAGCAGCAGACGCATTGATTGCTGAAGTGAGCGCTTCAAAACCAGGGAAATGACATGACATGAAAAATAACGTGCTGGAGCATAACTCAACGGAAACCCTGAGCGAGGTTTCCGAGACAAGACCACAAATTCCGGAGAATCTTATCAGGGTAATTTTTTAACCTGCGAGCATATACAGTATGCAGTAATTCAATTTTTCTTCGCGGCTCGGAGAACATGCTGTTTTCATTGCCCGAAACATTTCGAGTACACCCTTTCATTTCGGAAATAACATAAGAAACGAACTTAACGATGCATCAGATGAAATACGCACAAAGGGATGAGATATGTTTAAATTTTTAAGAAATACTTTAGCGTCCGACAAAATAATACATGACGATGAATGCGTGTGTAATACAACCTGTGCAGGTTCCTGAATCCATTACATCACGCACTTTACAACGTAACTTCACGATCTGTGGAAAACTGGCACAAAAAACGGTGGAATTTTGTCGGTTGAACATTTATTGCTCATTACAGTTCAGTATAATGAGGCGCAATGATCCCTAGGAATGCGCGATCTTATGTAGTCTCATTCGAAAAACTGTCAAATTTTAATCCTGATCCGCCGTATTCAAGACTGGGAAAATAAGACCTTGAAATTTGATATAAATTCTCTGAGATAACTTTGAAGGGAGTCGAAAAAATTGACCTAGAACAATATACAGTATTCAAGCCCTGATTTTGTACGTGTGCCTGTGTTGATCAAGGAGACATATTTAAAGGCAGAATTATTATTGCTCATTGTTCTTAAAGATGCCCTCCTTACAGGACGTTGCTTGATCCTTCGTATAAAACATTATCACGACAATAATTTCAACTTTTTGTTTTTGTTTTGTGGAACAGGTTTTCTGAAATTTAGCTGCAGTTTAATAGCCGCAGCAAAAGCCACAAAAACTGGACTAGGGAGGTTGAAACCTTTTTTTTCAGTTTGGGAGATTGAAATGAAATGAGTCTTCACGGGCTTGGCCTCGGATTCTCTGGAAATTTAAATAAAGGAGGTTTCCGACTATACAGAGGCTATGAAGTGATTACTTTAAAATTCGAAGGACATTCAGTTGGCCACTTTCTGGCTGATATTCCCAAAAGTACAAGATACACGAAACCGAGTGTGATGAGTAAAAAATTGATAAAATTTATGTGATCAAATGCAGTTTTGGCCCGTTCTTATCCATGCTGCTGGGCATGGTTTGGATCTGATTTTGCTCTCAACTAATATAATTTATTTGCTTATTGGTATAATATCCCAAATAAATGGCTGGCCAAAATAAAGGCTCCAAATCAGCTATCAAGTACACGCACGTACAAGGCCAAGAAGTTGCAGGAATATAGTACTGTACTGTAGTAACTGTACACACGAGCTATCGCGTACAATAAGCATGCAAGAATACCGCGTAGATTGCTCAAAGTAGGGTTTCACCACGTGCAGTACTTGGATGCATATGACTTGCATTCAGAACTAGAGCCTTGAGAAAATAAGACAGTGGTCATCAAGACCAATAAGACACGCCGTTGTCAGCCAAAAAATGTCGCTACACTGCACAGTATACAGTACAATATTCTCGAAAGTCAGTCACTCTTCCCGATAACTCTCGAACACTCCAAATATTTTTCGAATGTACTGTCCCGCGCACGGCACATAGCGCGGGAAGACTGACTGGACCTCGAGAGGGACTTTTCACGAAACCTTCACGCAACACGCAGGGCAGTCACTGCTGGACTGACTCACTCAACTCAATGCACGCGTTATTCTTGGCTTCCATCGCCCCCTGGTGAAGCGGAAGTCGTGGGGAACCGATGAACCGGTAGGTCACGGCTACGGCTACTATACACACTAGAGAAGAAGAAGGAGGAGGAGGATGATCAGAAGCGAGAGCGCGCGCATTCAACAGCACAGATGAAAACCGAGTTCCGCATTTTGATATCCGCGAACGTGCGCTCGCAACCGTTCCAAAATTTTTCAGGGGATAAGCTGGGGTTGTGAGTGGCATGATGGAGTGTGTCACTTGCTGGGGTTATTTCATGTCACGGACCTATATACTCGTACATTCAACGTGCTGAAGACGAGAAAAAATGTGTGAAATATCATATAATATGCAAAAACATATTGTATGATAATGAAAATACGCAGGGTTTCACACCCCTGGATTTGGTGCCAAACTCACTTCATGCCGCAGATTTCACCTGAAAGAATCTTCATCCATCAGCGTTTACGTACATTTATGCGCATTGCCCACAATTTAGTGCAAAAAATTGCCATATGCTGGTATAACAGCAGTAAATTGAGATTTATATCTTACACTGTATTAGCGTATCGTATTTATATTTCGGTGGAATCTAGTGACCACAAATATTTAGAGAACTGTATTTAGCCTTACTTTATTTTTTCTGACCATTTAAATGAATATTTGACAAAGATTTACTTTTAAAAATTGGACATTAGATCACGCGTCCTTGCATCAGGAGCAATGAAGCTTTTTCTCTAAAAATTATACTGTATGTCCAATTTTCGTAGACTACTATATTGCGATTTTCTAAATGAAGAAAGATGTTTTATCCAGCAGCTCATGGGAAGCATACAAATTGATCCAGAAACGCCCCTTTCAACAGCTAGACGGAAATTTGGACAAAATTCAGATGGAAACCGTGGAAAACCAATCAAGAAACCAACTCATCGTGACGAATTAATCGTAGAAATGTGTCCTACAAATTTTTTAGCATTGTGTCTGAGTTTGACACTCAGCTGTGTTGAGACTTTTGAAAATAGTTGATCTAAAAATGCCGCACAATGACAATTTCTTAGAAAGTGATCCGTCTTCACGGATTTTACTTACCTTTAGCAGACAACATTTTTGAACCCAATTTCAGTGAATACAGCTGCTGCATGCACGAGTATATATATACAGTATATGTATATAATATACTGTATAGTATAATGTACATGAAAATAACAATATTCACAAAAAGAGAACGTTACTGTATATTCCATGCCCAGCTGTATTTCTAGAAATGAAATACATTAGCTCAATTAGTTAAATAGAATTACATATATTCGACGAAAAATAAAACTCAAACTTCATGTGTAATGTCAGTATAACTCGTATACCGTATATTGTATTGTACTGTACTATAAAACGCCGCACAAAGGTCGACCAATAAATCCATTTTATTGATTTTTTCTTCAATTTTTTATAATTTTCCTATACATATTCATAATATATTGTATATACGGTATGTATATAATACATGTGAAATCATTGCATATTGCAACAAAACTCAAGGGACAGCAGAAAAAAATTCGTTTTAGATAGAATCTTGTTGATGAGATGCCCTATACTGTATAACATAGCATGGTATAGTACCAGATAAAATTAGTTATACTGACAAATTCGTTGTAGATGGACAAGATCGTCCGTTGTATAGAGAGTCCACCTCTATTTCACCAATTATTATTATACAGATAATATATTTGGTTTCTTATACTGCATCATAATTCATACACTATTCGACTCCTCAGAATATTCAGTGAATCACTACTGTATATGGGATATGAGATTATAGTCTGACTCTATTGCTGTATACGGTATATATACACGCAGTAATGGAGCTATGGATGTGTTTTAATTTCATATTGAACCGTCTTATTTAATCTCTATACAGTGGGATTTTATTGCTGCAAAAGGCGGGAATATCTGACATGAGGCCATAGATAGTATTTTAAATATATATACAGTATAGTATTGTACTGTTGCGGTACTATATAATAGCGTGAATAGAAACGGGTTAGAGACTGTCCTAAAGAAAGTCGAACGAGACATAATTTTATCATCGCTATACAAGTAGCTGGAATGACGATCAACGCCTCTATTCTGCGCGCTTCTATTTCCACCAGCATTGATATTAAGAAACTGAAACAATACAAAAAAACTCAGCAGAAAGACGGGAGCTGATTCGTACTGACGAAAAACCCCTTTCCTATTTTTTTCGCGATTGATCAACAAAGATGATTCGCCTGAAGGTGAGGAAAGTCGGTTATCTTCAAATGGTGGTGTATGCATGTATGCAATCCATATGGCGTGCTATATATAAAGCCAAATGCTGCAACAACCGACTTAAACATATTCTCCCCGGGTAATTTGTCTAGGATACACGCTGGCGCCTCTGTGTGCCGGAATGCGCGCGTCAGGCGTCAGATAGCGTACTCGAAGGGAAACACCGGTACAACACTTTACCTGGCATATGCGCCGTTTGCAATGGCGTCTTTCATGCCGTCGCTCTCTCGAGCGGGATTGAGCTTGTGCCGACGTTGTCCGGTGTGAAGTGTGAAATGAGGGTTTCGTGAAGACTGGTTGTGGTGTGTCCGGAGTGAACTTGCTTTCGCCGTGTTTCTTGATAGGGGATTCGGGGCGTTTTTCAACCTCTGCGTGTCTCGACCAACTTGTTTGTTAAGTCAACGTGCCTTGAGCATGTTCTACTGCGTCGCGTCACTATTTTGTGTCGGAAAAACATCAGTTTAGTCTCCATTATGGCTGCCGGTCGCGAAGCAGTGAAATTTCCTGATTTCGAGCAATTTGATCCACCCCGTGACCAGCAATTTATCCTAGCAGGGATGCGCGTTAGCGGTTGTCAGTGAAATTACATCCTTGAGATGTGCGCTTGAGTTGAACAGAATCGTTGAGATAATTACAGTACAAGGGCTGAAATGCAAGGCGAAACTCACCTGAGGTAGTTGAGTCCGCGTGTAAACTACCAAGGTTGTTTCGCCGTGAGGAACAGAACTTTCCCAGTGGAATACTGAAGCGAGAAGCAGCGATGGAGAACTCCTACGGAATAGGCGTTTCGAATCGCTACGAACTTTTTTACTGTGAGGATGTTGATTCTGCAGACCTCATCCAACAAGCTGAGAAAAAGTCGAAAGACAAGGCGGAGAAGAAGAAGGATAAGGATTTCACGAGACCTTCGAAATCAGTGGTCGGACGTGGGCATGACGATTTAGCAGACAAAAAGAAGAAGGATCTCGGTCAAGATAAACGTGGAAAAGATAAAGACGCTGACGCTCACATCGTGGAAGAGCGAGAAAACCGAGCTGCTGGAGATCGCGGTCGACGGGGTCGTGGATTTGCCGGACGCGGAGGTCCCGTTCCGCGAGAGAACAAGGAATACAGGTATAAGTCGTGATGAATCTGTCGTTGGGTTTGAGGTTCTGATGCATGTGACGCATGAGAAATTTTAACTCGTAGAATTATCAGCCTTACGAAATTTCACTTGTAACAGTGCAAACGCATCTCGAATTTACTGTTCGTCCTGGTAATTCCGAATTTTGCGCCGTTCTTCTCAGTTATTTATGTGGAAGTTATTTCATGGCTCTGAGAAGATGTCATACCATGAGTGATATCCATGTGTGGAAAAATTTGTCTCAGTGAAAGCTGAAATGTTGGAAACGTCAGAACAGCCGAACAGGGGATAGCTTGTGTAAGAATTTTGGTACATATTGATCTAGATGTACCGGATAATTATTCTTGGTACGTGATTATGTGATCTCGGTGCTTCGGGAAATTCAAGCCCGTGTATTGAACTACTTGTGTGTAATTATTGTATTGTACTCCTACCCGCAGTTCCGGAAGACCCTTCCAAGAAAACCAGGAGGATCGTGGCAATCGTCGTGGTGGCCGCGGTGAAGGTGGACTCCGCCGTGGAGGCGGACGCTACAATAACCAAGGTGCTCCTCGGGAAGGTGGATTCCGCAAGGATGAGGACTATGCCCCGCGCTACAACAACACCGCACGTTATGAGAACACAGACGGAAATGCCGACTACGCGGAAGGCAGCTTTGGTCGTGGGCGAGGTCGCGGACGTGGACGTGGTCCTTTCCGAGGTCGTGGCGAAGGACGTGGTCGTGGCGGGCGTCGAGAATTTGATCGTCACTCCGGAACAGGCTATTTAGGGCAGGAAAAGAAGAACGGCGCAGGCGGCCATAACTGGGGCGATTCGACCACTGAAGGACAACTCATGGAAAATGCGGAGTTTGACGAATGGAATTCTGAGCCGAAGCAGCACGATTCGACCGAGCATGATGGAGAATTGACGCAGCACGATACCTCGAAAGAAGGAGAAGTTGGAGATGAGGAAGCTCCGAAACCGGATGGCGATGCGATCGAAAGTGAGTTGGGTAAATACTGTACATTACCATTATTTTCTTCCAGGATCGTTTTTGAACATGCCTCTCTTTTTGTAGATGGATCCGCGAAAGACGATGATGCTGCCAAAGTCATGACCCTGGACGAATGGAAAGCCGCTCAAAAGGAGACACGCGTGAAACCTAGCTTCAATCTGCGGAAAGCAGGAGAAGGGGAAGATCCGAAGCAGTGGAAAAACCTGTTCGTCCTGAAGAAGAAAGAAAAATTCGATTCCGGCGATGAAAGTGAAGAGGAAGACGAAGACGACGACGATGACCTGCCCGCCAACAAGAAAAATGCTGCAGATTTGATTCAGATCGTTTTTTCGGATCCCGCTCGTCGCGGGGGCTTCGGTCCGCGTGGTGGTCGTGGAGCAGGATTCGAAGGTCGCCCGGGACGTCGTGGAGGTCGTGGGGGACCCCGTGGTCGCCCGGATCGCGGTAGTTTCCGCGGGGTTAGAGGAGGGTTTGGGGATCGTAACTTCGATGGTGGCGTACACCAGCGTGCCCCGAAGGTAGACGACGAGAGGGATTTTCCTTCTCTGTAAGGCATGCGTTGTAAGATCTTGGTAGGATAACGCATGAAGGTGGAGTAAACTAAATTGTTGATGGGGAGGAACGGAAGAGATGGAGCACGGGTTCTTGTCTCGCAGTAACTGAAGCTCATTTTTGTTGGTTTTCCCGTCTCATTCCTTCGAGTAATAAAGAGTTTTCGAGCTGTTTTCCAACCCCGAAATTTGTTCATTGTGGCGATATCTTCTGACTTCTTGGTTGGTTTCAATAAGCTTTCGTCAGAATCTGGGAAAGACGTTCGACATGAGTTTTGCTTGTGTTTATCTTCAGAGCCGGCCAAAATCCAGAAAGAACAAGTTTCTGTAGCGATATCTCTTGGGTTTCAACGATCTTTTCGCGTGTGCGTTGAGCTCCGGCGGCGATTTGTCAGTTTGATTGGACGAAAAAGTGGGGAACGTATTCGAGTGAATGGGCGGGCATTTGCGTATGTTAAAATGCGTCGAGTCTTCTCCCTGTCACTCCGAAGATCAATAGGGCTTGTAATCTGGCCCACTTTTTGTAGCTAACGGCATTAGGGAACTGATGGTCGTGCTTCAATTTTTGAAGTGACTGCCGGGGATCAGCAAGTCTGTGTTGTGCGACACGGACAGCTCTCCTTTTTTTTTACGACGCCACGCGAACGAAGGAGGTTTTGCTTTTTGGATAATTTTTCATTTCTGCGTAGGTTCCGAGAACTGCTCAGATTTTTTGTTCTCCCCGTTGTGTGATGATCAGGTTTCTCTTGAATTCGCTTGTAATATCCGGGCTGCGCCTAAAGCGCTCGATGAAGCAGTAAGGACGCGTTCGTGCGGGCGTTGGTATCCTACCTTGTCTTCGGATTCCGTTGTCTTGTTTGGTTTGAATAATCCCCGTGTTTTCGACGAATTTTTCGAATTGTCGATGGGAAAAGGAGAAGAAAAAAGACAAACGGTTCGAGAAGAGATCACTTGCGTGATAATTATTTTCCGTTGGGAATTTCATGTGCAAGGCTGCCAAAAGCAGTTGCTAAATTTCTTTTTTGCTCTAGGAACTTCGTACTGTAAATCCTGCGTTTCCCTCGTGAAATAGTGGGGTTCCGAAATGCGTGGAAGTAGAAGGTACCAATGCTCCTAATTCGTGATATTCTGTAGCTCATTGGTGATCATGCTAGAAATAGCACCTGCATCCATGGTGGCGTGCGCTTTAACGCCACCGCCTGATTCGACGTGGGTTGTCGATATCTACAAAAATAAAGAGGTGACACCAACGTCATTTTGATGTACCGCAGCAATTTTGGACACCATTTTCGATTCCAGGTCCTGGTAGCTGGCGTCGCAACACTGCTGTGCATAGCTTTTGTGATATACTTCTTCCACTATCGTCGTCGTCGAGGTGTGTAATGAGAATGAAGAATTCACCCATCGATTTACATGTTTTTCGATGGCTTTGGTCTCGGGTTCCTTGCCAAAGTTTTGAACTGTACTGTAGTTTAAAGTTGGTTTTGCATTGGAAGAACGATGGATAACTTCGCTCACGATCTCAACAAGCGATTTAACTTGCACTTCTTTTTCAAGCCACACCTGGAGTTGCTGGTAGATGGCGATTCCGGAAGAGAGATAAGATGCTTTTCTACGGCCGGAAGATGCTTCGGAAAGTGAAAAATTTTTCGGGTAAAATGCAGAAAGCTAGTCGTAAACGTCATAACATGCTGAAACTGGCTCGTGAGATTCTGTTGCGCCGAGATCCTGGAACAAGAACTCAGCTGAAGGTTCTTGAGCCGCCGGAGTCGTACCTAGAAGCCGACATGTCCAACAATTTAGATGACAGATTGCCCCCTGAAGTGGTCTACATGCTGAAGTCAATCAGGTTCGATTGTTCCTCGGATTTGCCAATGATGAATTTACTCATGTTGTGTTGACGTTTGTATCTGTTGACAGGGTCTTCGGTCATTTTGAGCGTCCATTATTTTTGGAGCTGTGTAAGCATATTGAAACCGTGAACCTTTCTGCTGGCCAGTATCTTTTTGCCGTTGGTATGTTCATGAAACTTGTGGCCGTAGGGTGAAATTTTAATGAATTTCTTGCAATAGGGGATGCTGACGAAAGCATATACGTTGTTCAGGAAGGGCTGGTCAATGTGTTCATTTCGAGTAAGGAGGGTGAGGTTATTTCGCTCAAGATGGTTCCTCCCGGAGATTCAATTATCTCGTTGTTATCCTTCGCCGATTGCTTATCGGTAAGAATTTTTCACTCAGTTTTCGGAGTACACAGGAGCGTGATGAGATAATTTTTGCAGGGACATTGTCAGCCGTACAAAACGGTAAACGCGAGGGCAGTGGATAACTCGACGGTTCTTCGTTTGCCAGTTTCAGCTTTCCAGAAAGTCTTCGAAGGCTCTCCGGAATCTTTCGTACGCGTCGTGCAGGTCATAATGGTACGCCTGCAGCGCGTGGTGTTCACATCGCTGTTCTCGTTTTTGGGGTTATCACAACACATTTTGACCTCAGTAAGTTCCGCTTGAAGATGATTAATTGAAATGTTTTGTTTTTTGCGTCAAGTATTTCTTTTGATTTTATCAGAGCGGTCGTCGATCCGGAGTTCCATCGTCACCATCAAGAAGTCGACGGGATCCGAGGAATTGGAGGCATTGTGAGTCTCTAAATCTGTTTCTTTCCAATTGAAATTTAAATCTATTTCTTGATACTTTTATTTACTATGCAGTGACTGAAGGGAATGAAACTGAGGGATCAAACTCAAACGCAAGGGTGAGAATGTTCTCTTCGTACCTAGTTTCCTTTACTTCGAAGTTCGAAAAATGTAGGTCTTGTATTTTGTCAGCAGAACAACCACGTCACATCTGGATCCCCCGTTATGGGTTCTTTCACATTCGATGGTTTAAGAGACCGAGATCTGTTCGAGACGGATGAGATGCGCGCGCAACGGAGCCACTATAATTCCGAATTAGCGGGATCATTAGAAGATTCGAATGTTCATTCACGACGATCGACTGTTGGAGAAATTGGGCATCGAAGGTGTCATGAGACGATTGCATTTATTTTCTTTGAATCATTCATCATCGAAGATCTTTTATTCTAGAACAAGAAGTCGTTTAACCCCTCAGGAGGAAGAAGAAGCTCGGGCGAGATGTGCGGACGCGTTTCGCGGAGCCATGGGCCTTGAAGATGTCTCATTGGTGAAGGACAGAATTTCTATTCGTGAAGGATATTCTGGAGCGCATCTGTTGAAGCAGGACTCCGTGAGGGACGTTTCTTTGTTCTACGTTATTTCTGGCACGCTTACTGTTAGCGTCGGTTCCCCGGAACTTGAAGAACGTGAGGAACTTCTGATTCATCTCCACTCCGGAGACATGTTCGGTGCGTTGGCGGTACTCTCTGGGGAGCCGAGTTTTTTCAACATCCGATTCAAGCATTTTTCAAGGATCGGAGTTCTTTCCAAAGAAGACATATATCGGTGAGAAATCTCGAATGCGGCGCTATTTATTTCATCAGGCTTTGGAAAATTCGTGTTTTCACACATCTTTGACGAGAAACTCATTATTCGTCATCCTAAGATCTTTGCTGTGTGATCAACTGAGGAAAATTACTTTCAAGTCCGATTGGTAAACCTCCATTTTTGACAGGGTGATGATGGAACATCCGAGGATAGTGCTCAGCCTGGCCAAGCTGGTGTTGCGCCGCTTGAATCCTGTGGTTCGCCAGATTGACTTCGCCTTAGATTGGTTGAATATCGAGGCTGGTAAAGCACTTTACCGTCAAGGAGATGTGTCCGACTGCACGTACATAATCCTGAGTGGACGTCTTCGTTCTGTTATTCAGCAAGACAACGGGAAAAAGGAGTTGGTTGCGGAATACGGTCGAGGAGATCTAGTCGGTGTGGTGAGTCATCAAGTCTGACTGTTATTTTTTACGACTGAGTACGTAGTCGCTTGATTTTCATTTTCGTGTTTCCGTCATGATTATCATAAGAAATAAACTTAACATCAAATGAGGTTGGAAAATTTTCACGATGATTTACCGAGCTTGTTAAAAAATCTTGAAATGAGTGGCACTTCGATTTCCAGATTTTCATCTGTTTTTGGTTAAAGTTGCATGTTCTCTTTTTCAATCCTAAGGTGGAATTACTCACGAAAACAAAACGGGGCACCACGGTAATAACCGTGCGAGACTCCGAAGTGGCTAAGCTTTCTGATGGCTTGTTGAACTACCTCAAGTATCGCTTCCCGATGGTCGTTACAAAATTGATCCAGTTGCTGGGTCATAGAATTTTGGGAACGTGGCAAAAGGGAGGCCGGGTTGATCGACCACGTCCGATTGAACTGCGTTCCTCGCAAGCTAACTTGAATACCGTTGCCCTTCTTGCCGTTTCGGACGATGTTCCATTGTCAGCCTTCGCATATGAATTGCTTCATTGCCTGAACGCGATTGGTAAGCAGTAATCGTCATTCTGTACCATTAACTTCTAATTCTCGTCTCATGGTCTCCGTTAAGTCTTTTTTTTTTAATTAACTCGGCCCAGCAAACTGATGACTTGACAGACATTTTTTATGTGTTATGGAAGCGTGTTCGACACGTTCATGTTTCTATTGGTTGAAATTTCTGTACGGTACTTCGAATTAGAGTTATGAAATACATTTTTCCTTTCAAGGTCCAAGTTTGAGACTGACTTCCGAATATGTACGCTCAGTCCATGGACCACACATCATGGAGCCCGCAAATGAATTCCGCCTGAGCAGTTGGTGTGGTCAGCAAGAGGATCTCAATCGGATGGTTCTTTATCAGTGTGATCCGACGTTGACCATGTGGACTAGGAGATGCATCCGTCAGGCTGACTGTATTCTTATCGTTGCGCTTGCTGACAAAGAACCGTCCGAGGGGAAGGTAAACGAAACGTTTCATCCGGATATTTTACATTAATTATTGCAGTTCATTTGAGCTCTGAAAATCTCAACTGTGTGTGTTTTCTTTCGTACCGTTTGATTTCTCAGATTGAGCGAGAATTGGACAAAATGTCGATTCGCACGCAAAAGGAACTCGTGCTACTTCATCGTGATCCAAAAAACAAGCCATCAAATACTGCAGCGTGGCTCAATGTAAGGTCATGGTGTTCTAACCATCATCATATTCGTTGTCCTCCACGGATGTTCAGTCGTCGATCGCAGACGAGAATTGTAAGCATGATGCATTTGTGAGGAGGAACTTCGGAGTAATCTTCATATTTTGTCTTCACAGAAAGAGTTGTACAAGTCGGTGCTCTTGAATGAACCTGATATTTATAATGATTTTGGGAGGTTGTCGCGGATCCTGACGGGTACCAGTGTTGGAATCGTTTTAGGCGGTGGCGGTGCACGTGGTGCAGCGCACGTGGGCATGATTCGATCGATTCTGGTTTGTACTTCATGTTCTATTGATCAATGTTCTACTCTTTTTGATCAAATACAATAATGAGAAAAATTGAAAATTTTTAGTGCAATTTATGATCTAATTTTAGATCTTCCCTTGCTTAAATCCCTAAAAATGTATTGATCTAATATAAATACTGTATAAGCTTGAACGAGATAAATTTTCTGGACGGGAAGATCAGAATTTCTATTTTGGATGGCTTGAAAGGTTTCAAAATTTGGATTTTTCGATAATTTTGTGCTAATTTTTGAAAATTCCTTCAACTCATGCGCATGTGATTAAGGCTAACATTCGTTATACTGTTACCATGAAGAAACTGTCGGGACAAGAAAACAAAAATTGTTGTAACGAGATTCTTCGAACTGGAATTTAACTGTACTACCAAGCTTAGTCTTCTGAATTTCATCTTGATCTTAACTCCTGGAATACGCAACTGAATTGGAATTCAGTTTGGCAATCTTGATTATTTGCAGGAAGCCGGATTGCCGATTGACATGGTCGGTGGAGTCAGTATCGGAGCTTTTATGGGAGCTCTTTGGTGCGCCGAAACCGATCTGATCACGTATACACAGAAAGCTCGGGAATTCTGTCGGGTATGTTGTCCAATATTCGCATGTATTCCTCAAATTAATTTTTTTTTTGCCCAGAAAATGACGCAAGTCTGGCGTCAGATTCTCGACCTGACCTACCCAACAACCGCCATGTTCTCTGGGAGGGCGTTCAATGGTCTCATTTCTGAAGCGTTGGGCCAGAGAAGCATTGAAGATCTTTGGATTCCATACTTCACACTCACAACGGATATCACGACGTCCAACCAGCGTATCCACACTCACGGTTTGTCCGTTTTCTGTTGCATTTGAAATTGGTGACTGGGTTGGATGTATTATCTATTAGTCATGCAGTTTCTTCTTCAGCTGTATTTTCACTTACTTAGTCGGAACATGGTATCTTGTATATTTTCTGGCTAAGGATTACTTGGTGCAAGCAAACCAGTTTTTTGTGTAGTTCATTAAAGGTGGAACACAGATCATTCCGGCGCAGAATGTTGAATTATCGAGGTATTTTTAACTCCACAGTTGGTGCACTGAACTGACGTACAGTATTATTATTATTTATTTATTTTTGCGGAACAGAATTCATTAACAGTGGACTTCTTGCGTCATACAGTACACGCGGGCCTTCATTTTTTACCTTTGGTTTTAGAGGTTGTATTTTTTCTTCCATACTCTTCGCCTGGCCGTTCCCTCCTTTGCACACTATTGACTAGGTCTCACAGTTTGGACCATGTAGAGAAAACCTTTCGAATAACTTTCGCCTTACCCATAGAATTAAATATACTGGATGTGTATTGAACGAGGAATGGGATGAATTGTTGGATTTGTAGACAGCTGTATGTATTATTCTCATGGTTTTTATGTTTTGGACTCATGTTGTACTTCAGTGTCTTGCCAGGGAGGAGGAGGTGGACGAAGACTTGCTGTTTTCCTCCTTTTGCTTACATTAACATAGCAAAGGAATCAAGATTTGTTTCTAATTAAATTACTATAGACAATATCCTACTGATCTTAGCATGAATCATTGAGTTCTTTACGTTTTTCCTGTGTGCTGTGCGCCTTATTGATATATCTTGAGATAGATTTTTTTCTTTACTGAGCTCAACGTCGTTTGTGCTTTCACAACGGTGACATCTATTTTTAATCACGGGTGGGATGCACAACTTCATTTGCACTTCAAGTTTGATGAGATTTGCGGCGTTTTTCCGGTTAAAAAATAGCGTTTGTGGCTTTAATGCTTGAATAAATTTTCCGAATCGATTCGGTAGTCTTTGCTGACTACATTCTCGAAAAAATTTGTATTCGATTTCGATATTCCAATGGAATTTTTTGATCTAATACCGTTTCAATTTCATTCTTGAAGTTTGACCACCTGCTATAGAATTTATTTCGCGTGCAAGGACATTTCATTAGTCCTCAATGAACTGGAATTATGCGTTAAAATTTGCTCGCTGGATGTGAACTTCATGAAGTGTGAATGATCGGTTATTCGGCTGATGATTAATGTACTATTAAAATGTGAAAGAAAGTCATCATGGTTGATCCTTGGAGAAATACTTCCCTGAAAAGCCTGTGTAGGACGCACTCTATTTAATTTAAAAAGCTTCTTTGAAGATTCGGTGAGCTGCCTAATGTACAGTAGTTCGATATCAAAGATGGCCGATAAATTTTAATCGCGCATTATTTCCCCCAAGAACGTCTACTGCATAATATCCCATCATGCCCAAACGTTCGTTGTACTAAACTAATGCGACATTCTTTGAGGGGAATAAGTCTTCACCTAGTATGATCCGCGTTTTTTTTCAATTAAGCTGAAACTTCTTGTATACTTCTCCAATTTTTCTTCTTGAAATTGCGCCTCGATTTTGTGTTGGTCTACCACCTCACGTGGCCAAGACGCTTGAATACCAGTTAGTCGAGGTAGGGATTATATTCTCAGCGATGTCTGTCGATAGGGCTTATACTTGTTCATTGACTAGGTCTTATTTTCGGCGAAACAAGGCATAGAATTTTAATCATGTCCCAGAATCATCAAATCGTATAGTGTGATCAATGTTGAAACTGTTCCTTTTATAACTCGCGAAAACGTCCCTGTTCAGGGGTAGCTCTGCGTATTGCGGCAAAAGAAAAGTAAGAAATCAATAGAAAGCCTCAGTTCTCCAATGAATGGACGCATGAATTGCCTCATTTACATTTTGATAATGCGCCAATCTGAAAATCGAATTTCTCTTCGTGTTCTCATTCCTTTTAATGAAATAAATTTTTTTGCCATCGCATTATTCGACTGGTGGAAAGATTCTTGAGGCTTTTGCAGTATCATAAAAGTTTAAGACGAGACGGGTTTCAAGACTGGTCTCTGTCTGCGTAGGGTCTATGTGGCGCTATGTTCGCGCTTCCATGTCACTTTCGGGATATATGCCGCCATTGTGCGACCCGACGGACGGCCACCTCCTCCTCGACGGCGGCTACGTGAACAACTTGCCAGGTACTTGGAATTAATGGTTTTGCCTGTGTTTTGTCTTCCCGCTATTGCATCGGCGATGCGGAAACTCAGGATGTATGTGGCGATACGTGCGAGCCAGCATGTCCATTGCTGGATGGCTGCCTCCTATGACCGACCCCGAAGACGGTCACTTACTCGTTGATGGAGCTTATATAAACAATGTGCCAGGTATCGATATGGTATCATGCGTCGGCGTTTAATTTCATCGTCAGTCGTTGGGCACTGGGAGCACGCGTTTGATCCCCATTACAGGTTTTCTTTTATTGTTTTTGTGTGTGGCTCTCGATGCGGAAAGGTTTCTTGCTGTGCCATATTGATCAAAAAAGTTGTTCCCTGAACATTCGTGAGGGGTTGGCTGAGCAAATGCTAGTGTTGATTCTTTTTTTTTTTTTTTAGCTTTATTGCTAATGAACTGTTGCCAGTTTTCCAGTCTATTATTTGCCAACGAAATTCCAGGGGTAATTTCTGACACACGTGACCCAGATATTTTGTTCACTGTTTCGAGTGCTCTTAGTAAGCACGTTCTAAGACTTCGAGATGAAAACCATCTCTTCGTATCTTAGCCGACGTTATGAAGAACTTCGGAGCTGGAACAATTTTCGCCATTGACGTCGGCTCTCAAAACGATGTGGAAGTTGTCAACTATGGAGATTCGTTGAATGGATGGTGGATTCTATGGAAGAGATGGAATCCGTTCACGGCTTCGGTTAAAGTGTTGGATTTGCCCGACATTCAGTCCCGTTTGGCGTACGTGTCATGCGTACGTCAGCTAGAGGTAACAATAGTTCTAATTTTTTGAGGTTTGATATAATTTTAAGGCATTTTTTCACGGTCATGCTACGTTCATTCGTCTCTAACCTATGAAAATTGTCCCTTTTTATTTTAGGAGGTGAAGAGCAGCGATTATTGTGAATATATCAGACCTCCCATTGATCGGTACAAAACGCTGCAATTTGGCTGCTTCGAGGAAATCAAGGTCGATTACATGAAAATTTTTTTTTTATCTTGTTATGGTTGAAATTTGCTCTTAAACTCAACAGGACGTTGGTTACAATCACGGGAAAGCGTATTTCCATGGTCTGATGAAATCTGGTAATGTGAGAGATTTTCTGACTCGTGATAGAGGCGCCACGTCAACGGCTATTGCTTCTTCGGTGGGGCGGGTGTATGTTGCATCCAAACCTTCTTCGTTTGTCGATCTTGCTCGACTTGTTTGTCAAGTCAAGGACCCAAGTATCATCATGGACGAAAATAGTGACGGTAAATTTCAAAACTGGATGTTCCGTGAATCTCCGTTTTATGGTAGATATTTTATAGAGGATACAGCCAGTAGTGCCTCAGAGGAAGAAGGTCTCCGAGAAGCCGGTTACATGTCTGAACCAGCGTCTGGTCCTTACGTCCGTGCTGATGCCGGAGATGTGCGTATTTAAAAAAAATCCAAATCTTCAATTTGTTTAATGAAGAGTTTTTTCTTATTCATTGCTCTCATCAGAACTCTCCTAGACATTCTGGGCGCCGTGGAGGATCTCTTTCGGAAACGGAGATTATCCGAGTAGCCGGCGGCGATGACGACTATTTTGAAGACGACGGTGATACGTCGGATACTAACGCTGGCGAACCAAACTTGATTTCGGGTGCACTGTGATATTCGTCGATCGATGGATCATTCCGTGGTGCAATTTTTGTAGCAGTCTTTTCGCTTGGTATATATGTGAAGATGTTTCTTTCAACGTGTACCGCGTTGAATACTGTATCTTCTTTTTCTTGGCAATTCATTCGGGTATTATTGGTTGACTTTTCTGGCCTCATGTTTGGGTTAACGCTTCCGGCGGCAAGCGTTTCGTTGGATTGCCTCGTTTGTGTTCTCTTTTCAACTTATCGTTGTTCTAAGGGGATTAATCCTAGATAATTTTGTGATGGAAATGAATTCATGAATTATTATCGTATCGAATTTGTGACCTGATTTCATGCGTCGTCTGCGAGTGCAGCTCCAAGAAATATTTTTCAAATTACAGGGACCCCTTGAACCAGGAAAAATAGTTGTTCATCCATCTCTGAAGCGCGTTGGGAGTAGAAACTTTGAATAAGATGTCCGACGACGAGATATCGGATGCGTCTTCCTCTAGCTCGTCAGTGTCGATGCCGACAGGGCCAATCGTCACGATCGCCGCCGGGCGATCAAGACGCGCGAATGCTGGTAGGAACATGGCTTCCCTACTGGAGCAGGCGGCCAAAGATCCAACTTTCTTTGCCCAGGTTGACGATATGAACGAAGACGACGTTGATCCAGATTTTGCGTGAGTGAGGATCTTAGTGACAAGATTACCGTAGGTCCACTGAGCTCTTCTGCATCACTGCGTTTTTTCATTCTTTCAGCGGCAATTTCAAACCACACGAGGAAGAAGATATTTTTGATTCGGATTTTGGGGACTCGAGTAACGAATATGATTCTGAGGAAGAAGTCGCCGCCCGTGGTGAGGGGTCCGACGACGAAAAAGTTGGAAAGAAGCGGACTCAAAAGCGGAAGGTCGGTTTTATCCTGGTGAGCATCAGCCCATAACGTCCAACACTTCCGCTGTTTCGCAGGCTGCTGATGTTTTTCAAACGTCCATAAAAAAATATCAACCCGTTGTTGCTGATGTAGAACGAGAAAAACCCGCAGTTAAACCCAAGTCACCGAGACGAGCTCCTCGCCATCTGTCCTTCAGCCCTCAAAGTCAGTTAAGGTGCATTTTACGTATCAGCTGAGATGCGAATGAAAACTATAACAAACAGGAGTTAGATCAAAGCGGAACACAACTGCTGCGAGATCCGCTGAAATTCTCGAGCGTGTGAAAGAGCGCGAAGCTCGACGTAAAAAAAGAAAAGCCAAACACGATGCAGCCATGTTGGAAGGTGCTGAAGAAGAGGAAGAACCAACGCAAGAAGAACGCCTTCGGATTGCCGCGGAGACGGAGTTGTTGAACAAGCAGAAGTCAAATCGATTTCGAAATAGAGAGCTGAAACGGAGGATGTATGCTCGAATGAAAGCGAGCCAATATTCGTGAGTTCCTTCTCATTTTAGATCTGCGCAGCCAAATTACTGGGACAGTTGACTCTGCGTCCTCGTGGGGTTTTTTCAACCCGTGTTGCTCTATAGACGCAGGGAGATTGAATTTTGATCGTGGCCTCATGATCAATTGATCTTATGTTAAAAACTAATGAAATCGAATCAAGTTGGTGAGAGGTTTACTGGAAGACGCATTGCTGGTGAACTAAAATTCCTCGGATAAGTGTCATGATGTAGCATATTTTCGCATGAAGTTGAAGTCCTTGAGCTTTTATTTGAACACGCTGTATTGCACAGGTGGTACACCTAGAATGTGGTTTTTGAGCGATTTAGCGTATTAGAAGTGGTGCAATACTAGGAATACTGTAATGCACATTAAAAGATAGATAATCTAGCAGGAATCTGTTCGCGTAAAAATATTAGTTTTTCAATTTTAAAAATCGGATCTAGCCCGTGAACTGCCATTCTTCCTTCTCGTGTGTATTCAACCCTAGTTCTTCTGTTCTTTAATTGCCTCAATATCCCTATCTCTGAAATGAACCATTGTGATGTCAAGCAATTCCTTTAGCACAAAGCCTGTGCCCCTACTTTGATTGAGGATTTGATGAGAGGGGAAGTTTTTTGGGAATTATGGTTGTATTTTACCTCCATTTTTTTCTGTCGAATACTGTACAACATAATTTGAATATACAGTATTTTCATTTGAAGTGTTGTCGAATAAAGTAAGGTTAAAGCGTAACTCTGCCTGCAAGTGAGTCATGATAGAGCTACAATAAAACTTTCTGAAGATTATTACCGTAGCACATTTATTCTGTAAAAATCGGAAACCCGTTGGTAAGCAGGCTATGTAAAATCTATGTGGCAAGTCCGGACGTGCGCTACGGTTGAATAAATTACGAGACCGACAAACTCATACACTGATTATGTAATGGATTCGTATAATGATTTTTCATTCTCACTTTGACAGATCGATCAGATTCCGTAGTTATCGTGTGCCGGTTAGAAATTCAAATGACTACGAAGCACCTACTCAAGATCTGAATGGGGTCGATGTAGAAGAAACTCACAAAATCTTGATCAAAGGTCCACACATGTCGAAGGATGGTTCACCAGAGTTCAGAAACCAGAAGTTGCGTCCAAAAACTCCTGATTTAGAAGGGAAGGAAAAACCACAAACAATTCTGCTGGAAGATTCTGATACCGCTATAAGCTCTCTCGTGGAGGTGGAGAAACTTCGAAATTCTAGTTCAGACGCAGCTGTTCCGATTCCAAGTACCTCTAGAGAACAGCCAGAGAGTAATGCGGGTATTCTCAAAAACTCCAGCAGAGAGACAATAGAGTTGCCTAATGGGAGTTCAGGTGAAAATGAGGATTACCCACAAGAAAGTTCGGAATCTGAAGTACGAGACAAAATGTCGAGAAACACTGCTGAAGGCGACGATCATGTGATTCAAGATCGTTCGAATGCCGAAGGACGGCTGCAGGAAACTGGTGGTTTTTTTCGTGATTCACTCGCGCCAAGTGGGAAAACTGTCGAGGAGACGGCTCAGAACCCTAATGTTCCTGTACATTCTCCAAGGAATATCGTGAACATTAGTGTAGATGATGAGGAATGGTACGAGCAAGAGCCCGCCCTTGACGGCGACGAAGAAAACTCGGAGAACGTGTGGGTGCCCAAGGAAACCTGGGATGAAACCTATAAGGATAGATTCGTAGAAATCCCTTTTGTCACTGTGCCGGATGAGGAAATGCTGCAAACAGTGTTCAAGGATCCAGAACAAGCTCTCAGACGTCTTCAGAGGAAAGCTAAAAGAACAATATGCCCGATAACGAAGATGCCAGCACGCTATATTGATCCACTGACGAAGGTTTGCTTTTCATGATTTCTTGAATTAGTGTCTGGAAGCACCGCATTTTTGAAAATATAACTTTCAATTTGCTGCAATATAATGTAATACATGCCCATAGTTGCTGTCCGAAGTTGTGACCAAAAATTCTCCTGATACCGTAGTTCTTCATTCACTGAGGGTTTTAATCTCCGATGTTGTAGAAGTGTCAAGTTACTTGTATGGCATGTAAGAAAATGAAAGGGCGGATTTGATTCCAAGAAATCAATGTATTTGCGGGTAAGTGTCCTTGAGTAAAATACGCACCCGAATTTTTCAGCAAAAAGATATAAAAAAAACGTATCCCCGAGAGAGATGCGCACCTCTGTTTTGTATGAAAATATAACTATCTTTAAATAAAATAAAATGTACCTAAATTTAAAATTTGACAAGGAGCAGTCAAGTTTTATGTTAATTTTTAATCATTGCCATTTCTTTAGTGTCTGTATTGGTTAAAAGTCCCTGTCGGAATCGAGTATGAGGTGCACCGTTAATTTTTTTTATTTTTAATCCCGCCTCGAATACATGAGTAACCTAGCACTTATGACTCAATGGTTATGGATTGGTTGATGTGCCCGTGAATACTGTACCGAATCACTTCAGAGCTTATGAAGAATGAAGAACCAGTATGTATTTAATGTGACGTGTTTTGTAATTCCAGGTTCCATATCATGATGCCAAAGCTTTCCGAATCATTAGAGATGTCTACGATATAGCTCAGAGGAACCTTGCGATTGCGAAGCAAAAGAAAGTGCCTGCTCAACATCAGTCCTCTTATCGCCACAAAGAAAGAAATTTGGAAGATGCTGGTGAACAAGACGAAAGCAGTGATTATGACGATGATGATCGCTCGATTTCAGAGTCCAGTGATTTGCCCGTTGAAGATCGTAATGGCAATCATGGGGAAGACGATGAAAATTCAGATGCTTCCATGATAAATGGTGTTGATTCGGAGAGCGATATCGGGAATTATGCGGATTATGTCAAAGGAGACTCTGGTAAGCTTTATTCTAAAAATTGCGACGGGGAATCCTCAAAGAAACACAAAAATTTAAATTGTCATCCGGATGGCTGAACTGAAATTTTTTTCGAATGTTTTTCATTGCTTTTGACGTTATAAATACATTGTATTTTACATTAATTTTTTAACGCGCGTTTGGCTTGAATTAAAATTGCACCCTGAAAAGTTTTGCAACTTTTACTCATCGACGGCCGATCTTCTGCCGAATAAAATGCTTCGTTTGTGGGTGAATGGGAGCCACAAAGCGACGAGGGTGGCATCATCAGTGACGCGTTCAAAGGAAGATTTGAGACGGGCACTAATGTTCCTGACGTTACTAAAGGCTGTGACATTGTGAGATACTGTACTCCACTCGGACCGATTTCAGGTTCAGATCTCGGAATAGATTTTCATTGCGTTGACAAAGTTGCATCATTCATTTTGAATTATGAGGTCCTTTTTTTCTGCTTGTTCGAAGTTCACGACATGTTCCTCGGAAGTTTTTCCTGATCATCGCAGGGTCATGAGAGTTAATCGATCGGTAATTTCGAGGGAAATGTTCTGGGATCTCTTGAACGTTTCCACCCTTCGTGAGCAGATGCAGATGAGAAACCACAGTGAATATTGCTTGTATGTACTGTAATACCCTATAGGTAGCATTCTGGACTCCGGAGACTGAAAGAGAAATACTGTACCATGAAAATTATTCCAAATTTGGCACTACAGTAGCGCGGGATTCTCATTGTATTTCATCAGCATGAGTAATGACGCTACAGATAATCGATTTATGAAATTCTGATTCCAATCATCATCGGACTGCAGAAAATTGAAATGATTTGCAATTGAAAGAAAATCGCGATCTCAAAAAATTTAATATTCCATCAGCGGTCAGTCAACGAAATAAATTGATAAACCATTGGGGGAAGGAACTCAAACTCTGGCAAAATGGACAAAAAACGAAGAATGACGAATAGAGCCGCTTCGCCTGAAAATCATGCATCATTTGCTAGCTCTTCAATTTGTGACACTCGTGATAGCATGCGTATCCGCAATCCCAGGTCAACTGCCCTCTCGATCCGATTCAGAACCTTGTTTTCGATCGCTGCTGCTGTTTTTTTTGAAATCGCTTTCGTGTTCCTGGTTCAGCAGAAAAATACGAAATTTTTCGATGTCTAACAAAAATTCAAGAATGTCTTAAACCTTTCGCCTCCATGCCGACGATCCAGTTCTGTATCCGTACTGGTATCAGTTTTCGTGTTTTGCGCAAGAGACTCCATGGCTGAGGTGGTTCGGCATCCAAGATCCGTGAAAGTAACTGTTTTGCGGTTTTGTGGGTCTTCAGGGCACAAGGTAGCTCGTGGATTTGTAGCTCTTATGAAATCGGCATGATGATCTTGGATGCTGTCTGAGGCGTGATAATGTTCTCGCTGAGCTCCAGTTTCAATATTGCCAATAATGATCGGGGCGACGATTTTTCTCTCTGCTGTCAGGGCTTCTTCATCCATTGACGCTAAAAGTGACGCAAGCGAAATTATATTTACCTAAAAAATGTAATTTACTGTATTCATTATTAATTGCTGTCGAATGACGCATAATTTGGCTTGATTGATCTAAAATAAATATTCAATTATAGTAAAACAGTATTCCCATTATTGCAAAGTTCCATCGGGAAACCTGATTTCAGAATACTGCACAGGCCGACATTGCTTTTATGAATAAAAATGCGAAAACTTGAAATAATGTATTATGAAAGGGTTTCCTGTTTTCATCAATATTCCTCAAATTCATTCATCTGTATAGGAGACTGCAGTATTGTATTTTGGAAGAGACTCAATTTCTTCAATGCAGAAGGTGCAAGGAACTATGACGAAAAGCTCTATCTGTTCGCATATAGGAATCCTTTGAGAATTATTTATGAAAATTGCTCAAGTGAAAGCCGGAAAGCTTTTATGAAGTCCCCCTGTAGGAAAACTTGAAGAGAAGTTCCAAACAACCCTTCAGTACCACTTATAACATTGGAGGTATTCTGCTTACTCTGGGCTGCTTGAGAAGGATTCAGAAATAATGTGCTTGAAACTTTGGGACAAAAAATGCTCTTAATAAATAAAACATTCTTTCTAAAATAAATATTCAAAATCTTGTGAATAAGAAGCAAAGGGTGATAATCTGTGCAAACTGTTTTTCAAAAACTTAATGAAGCGTGAATTAAATGTAGTAGAAATACCATTTGTTACTGAAATGATTAAATTTAAGTTTCCCTGTACCGTAATCACGCATGAAAAAATTTGGAGCAAATACTGATACATTTGATGAAGCTACAACTGCAGTATTGTATTTTGGAAGAGACTCAATTTCTTCAATGCAGAAGGTGCAAGGAACTATGACGAAAAGCTCTATCTGTTCGCATATAGGAATCCTTTGAGAATTATTTATGAAAATTGCTCAAGTAAAAGCCAGAAAGCTTTTATGAAGTCCCCCTGTAGGAAAACTTTAAGAGAAGTTCCAAACAACCCTTCAGTACCACTTATAACATTGGAGGTATTCTGCTTACTCTGGGCTGCTTGAGAAGGATTCAGAAATAATGTGCTTGAAACTGTGGGACAAAAAATGCTCTTAATAAATAAAACATTCTTTCTAAAATAAATATTCAAAATCTTGTGAATAAGAAGCAAAGGGTGATAATCTGTGCAAACTGTTTTTGAAAAACTTGATGAAGCGTGAATTAAATGTAGTAGAAATACCATTTGTTACTGAAATGATTAAATTTAAGTTTCCCTGTACCGTAATCACGCATGAAAAAATTTGGAGCAAATACTGATACATTTGATGAAGCTACAAATGAAGCGTGAATTAAATGTAGTAGAAATACCATTTGTTACTGAAATGATTAAATTTAAGTTTCCCTGTACCGTAATCACGCATGAAAAAATTTGGAGCAAATACTGATACATTTGATGAAGCTACAAATGGGACATTCTCTACAAAAAGCTTTTATATCATGATATTCTCCCCGCAACACATTTTAAAGGTCCCATAGGGCTCTCTCCCGTGTTGTAGGGTTCTCTATGTCGACATTCTCTCTATAACGAAATTTCTCAGACCAATTTAACTGTGTTGTGGAGAGAGATAGTCTAACTGTAGTAGGAAGTGATCTACAATAACATTACAGCCGTATTATGCTTTTCTCGGAGTAAATCGTGATGAATATGAGCCGTTTAGATTCACAGCATTTTACCATGTGAAATTTGAAGAGCGAATAAAGCTGCATCATGTTCATCCTCTTCTTCCAAAATGTGACGCACAGCATCACTTTGAGGCCAGTGAATTTCTGGTGGAGGGACACGTAATGCAGCAAGAGCTTCAGCGGGAAGCTTCCTGTGACTCATTGGTGTGTCGTTTGTGGTGTCCTGGAAATGTTGGGAGTTGAACTTCAGAAGTAACTTGGAATTAATTGTGCTTGTTGATTAGTGACCTCCGATCCTTTCAATGAAAATACTGTATTCACCGAAGGTCGCACATTGTAGATGAATACTGTACTACGTTTTTAAAGATGAAAATTAAGCATGATGCGTAAAAATTATGGGGAAATTTTAGAGCCAGTTTTAAATGAACACCTACGTACAAGAACTATTTTGCGGGATAAAAAGCGAAATTTAGATCCCCATTAAAAATGAATTTTTCAATTATCATTTCATATGTTTTGTGAGTTACATAGATGTTGAACTTCTGTAAAGTAAACCCACGACCGAAAAATTTTTCCGGTGTAAATAAGTTTTATTACAAATGAGATACTGTACTTGACGAATTTTGGAGATTTGGATTCAGTAGATCATGATTTCTGGTTGGGTCGTGATGGATTTTGCATGCTCAAATTAGGAAATTTTATCATACTAATGTGATTTGTGTAAAGAATAAATTGTACGATGAACATAGCTATTAGTGCTTGAACACATCATACTTGTTCGATGAGGTATAACTTTTTATCGAAATATAGAGCATCTTCTCTGGTTCAGATTGAGCAATATTAGACTGTAGAGATATAGGGTATTTTCTTGGTTTTCTGTAATACTTTGTGTATTACTTGATGCATCAGTTATCTTGATACTTCATCTAACTTGATTTAACATAATGATTGACTTACCATGTATTTATGAATGTTGTCCAAAATCAATCATCAGAAAATGTAAAGAATCATTATCCAAATGTTCCTGAACTGCATTTTCTGTAATTGATTCTCCCGTGACCAAAAAATTTGGGCATTCCCTCTTTCAATTTTTGCAAGTCAAATTTATCAATCCGAAGTCGCAGTGTAAGGGAGAATAGAAACCTAACAATGAGTATACAGGAGACCACATCTGATTTGGATTTTTTGTTGAACCCAATAAAACCCAAATACTGTAACACATGCTTCGATTTGCAAAGCACATCAGATCATCCAAAATTTGTTAATACTCTTGAGTACAGAATAAATACTTCTTTGAAAGTGCCCTCCATATTAAAAAGGCTTGAAGGGGGGAGATCTTCTGGTTGGGTACTGTACTGAATTGATGTGATATTCCAAGGCAAGTATGATTTCACTATAATTATGCTTGATTCTTGTTTTACTGAAGCTGTGTTTCTTTTCAAGAGGTAAGAGGACTTAGATTTCTTTCGGTTGTACGTGCTGACGTTCATCAGTATACGACATCACCAGCAGAAACCGCAAATGCTCAGCACTCACACAAAAATCCTTCTCTGTGGTGAATGAACAGTTTTTCGCGTCGCCTGCAAGGACCCAATCATCACATCCGTCTTGGGGTACTGTCAGTTCAGGAGATCCCCGAAGTCTCCCTGTGGCATCCCAATTCATTCCTGCATTGCTCCGATGATCACCTGTGGCGTAGGGGTCAATGAAGGGGGTCGTCGAGTTGACGGATGCATTTTCATGAGTGCTGCCTTTACTGAAACCCCCACGACTGCCCTCTGTGGGATTGTGTGATGAGAATTCCAGTGGATGCAACAATTTCATTATGTCAAATTGCTTTCTCAGGTTTTCCTTCTGTTCTTCTTGTTCGCGTCTACGAGTTGCCCGCTCATATATTTCCCTCCGCTGGATTTCTCTTTCCAGCTCGCGCCATACCGCACTGAAATTAACAGTGATTTTTGTCTCACCTTCGGAATTTTCAAACTTATTTCTTTATACAGGAATCATGTGATGATCTATTCTATATTCTCATGTATACTATTTTTCCGTCAAAATGAAGGGATCACATCTCCACTCCTCCGAATTAAATAGGCACCATGGCAAAATTTGGTGTAGATCTATACATGTTGAAGGATGTGACAAGGTTTTGAAATCAATCTCTAGTATTCTTACAAACCTACTGATGCCATCCTGTTCAGATCCAGTCTCCGTGAATTTGTAAATGACCATCTTTCGATGGAATTTTATCTGTAAAAATTGAATCAATCTCAGCAGAGTCAAAAATTTTCTTAGAATAACGTCAGAGACTAAGTTGAGCTGTGTATGGTTTTTATTTTCTTGATGTACTCGATCGTGAAATATACGTATTCTGAGTTGAGCATTAAAAGCTAATGAATGTTCAGAGCAGTTCGGCATTTCTGGAGCACTGATTCGCAATTTCTGATGATTTTTTCCTTGATAGTGCTGAGCTGCTAAAAATGTTCGAAGACCATTATATGCAACGCATTTGTCATTCACCGCTTCAATAACTGACTCAAACGGTAGTGTCAATACTGTAATGAGAAATTTTACCGGGAAATTAATGAAATTCCGAAGTTATTCCATTTCAGCAAACCTGTTGACAATATGTGTTCGTGTATTCATCACCGATTTCAAGTTTTACAGAGTAATAGACCACAACGTTATTACCATTATCACTTCAAAACTGATGAATTTATGCGAGATTGAAATAATAGTAGCGAACAATCCCATTTACCAAGTTAAACCTTTCACATCAGCGCAGAAGTTTCCAAGTAGCTATTATTGAGTTTATTGAGCATGTCAAAGAACCAGATGGAAACTCAATAAATACGGTATTATTGAAATGGATTGTAATCGAAAGTACTCCCAGTTTCTTGATGGCTAAAAGGATACGGCGAAGGTGTTGCTGCTGATCTCGAAAATGGCTGATTTTGTGCTGAATTGATTTGCTCGTGGCATCCTTGGAAATGGTTGTGAACTCACTTGATCCCCCTTCATGAATCCCCCACTTTGTTGCCCACCCATCAACCCACGGACCATTGGGGGTATTACAATCCCATTATACTGATTGTCACCCCTGTGTGTCTTCGTATATCGTCATGCTAATACCCTATTTATTGATGAAGTGTCAAAATTGGCTCCATTGCTCGACAATTCCAGTGACATGGTGTGAATGATTCACTTTGGCTTTGCGTGAAATCCAGACTCATCCCACTTGCAATTTCACTTAGAGAGCTTTCTTTTGTAATTACGAAAAGCAACCGTTCGTCTGCGTGGTGAGAGGTTGATCAGATGGTTTCCTCATGTTTTTTGTGTCACTGATGAATGCACCACCTTAACCATATTATTTCAATGCAAATCCTTTTGTGAAGCGTGCATTACATAATAGCCTGTCTTCCAAACATCTGAAACTGCTGCTGTTCAATAAGTTTTGGCGACGAACAGAACATGTGAAGCATGACTGATATTATAGGCTTGGCCGTTGTTAACTATTAATTCTCCATGGAACACAGTCAGACTGCATTTTAGACGCGTTGCAGATCCGTATAGTAGTACTGTCCATCATCTGAATCCAAAATATCCGTAAGAATATTCAGTTAATAAAAAACCGCCTGAATTGTGTTGAAGAAGAGATCAGAAGTGCAGAAAGGTCAGTATGTTTACTCGCATTGACCTTCATGAAGGAGGAGAATTTGTCGAGGCTTTCTACGGTTGCCAATGCAAGGCAACGCAACTTTCATCGAGTTTTCTTACGGAAATGAGCGAATTTTCTCGGATTTCTCTGTGCGTGATTTAATAACCTCCACACGCTCGTTGCTGAAGTACATGGCTGGAGAAGTTCCGATTTGCAGTTCATGAACGAAAAAGAAAACGCGAAAATGCAACATGCTTTTGGTGTATAACAGCATAGAGATCATTGAAGGCAGAGAAGCTGGCGAAGCGCAGTTGACGAAGTACTATGATGGAAGGAAAGTTTTCTTGACAATCAGGAGCACGAATTAATTCCGGAAAAAGTAGAGCTCACGGTCCCCCTTTAAGCCAACATTCTCAGAAAATGCTTGCCAAGGTTTGGAAGGGCTCTTTTTTGCCTGGTCTGCCTCGAAACTTCCAAATTGTTGACTGCGGGTTGGTGATACTGCAATTATAAAAAAAATCCGCAATTGTTATGGTACGACGGATGAAGGTTTGAAGAAAACATGGAATGGCGCTGAAGGTTCATTTAGTATAGGGCTCTTCAACTTTTCTCTTTTTGTCTCTATCATATTCAACACAAAATGGCTGTGTCGTGCTCCAAAACTTTAAAACTGTGATTTTTTCTTTCATAATGTAGTGTCTGGCCAGCGTGATTTTTAAAATCGCTTCCGAGTATAGAGCAGAAATGTTTATACAGCATTTTTTTTAGAAAGCTCGAATCCCAAAAAAGGAAACTGATGAGATTAGTGTACTGAATTCGAATTTATCTGCTTGACTGAGTAAATTATTTGTATGCCTCTTACCCAATCAGAGTAAAGATCGATGATCGAGTCCGTAGTGCTTGCAAGTTGTTCAATCAGTTGCTTTTGAGAATTGATGAGGTCCATGATCGAAGAATTCTCGCGTTCTTCGGATCTAGTTCGCGTGAATCGATCGACGTCCGACACTGTCGCTTGGTGACGTGAAGGTGACGTCACGAGGTTTCCACGAATCGTCGATTGTCCGTTCGGAGGTACGACGGATCGTTTTTTCCCGCACCCAGAGTATAGGTTGCAAAAGGGCCTTTTCTGGATTTGACGGCCGGTGTTCGCGTTAGTGTCCATCTGATTGTCTATGAACCCGTCTGCCATCTGCGAGAGTTTAAAATATTGAAGGCTGACGTCAATTTTTGCATTTTTTTAAAGTATAGAATTCAAGTAGAGACGTCCCCCACAGCCAAATCGAAGATTGCAAATGGTCTCTCCGCCGTGATTTCTCTCAAGCCGTATTAAATATTAAAAAGCAGCCTTTTCTGGAATGTAAATTCGATATTCGTCTTGATGTTTAGCGAATCGTCTATTCTATATTTCAAATAATTTTTTTTAAACTAAAGCATACTGTATACAAGCTGCATTTTCTATCCTCAAATTGATTGTAAATTTGAATAACCAGAAACCTTAAAACATATGCGTCTCAAACATTCATTCATTCATCTCCCACAACATTTTTGTCTGATTTTTCGCTAATTTTACGTTACTTATCACAGTTGACCGAATTAATCATACAATTCCGAATCACAATGTGGTCTTGAAAAAATGAAGCTGTCATTTCGGGTTGTCCGCGATTTTCATTCATCTAAAAACGAATCCATTATTATTCTGAATAATCAAACGTTTCTATTTATTTGCTATGATTAAGACGAATTATTATTCTTTGATGTCATTTTCACCACTATTTCACTATCAATTCTGTATTTTCTACCAGTTTTAGAAGCTCAGAAATTCAGAGTCGAACGAAGGTTCACTAAAGTAAAAAGGTCGGAATAAATTTCAATGCCGTCAGTCTTGGACAGCTTGAGCCACAGGGTTCCGAGCTAGATTTGGCAGATGTGCCAGATGATCGTTCTGAATAAAAACAAAACCAAAAAACGACGTGCACATCTACAACGTATTTGCGCCCGCTGTCAAGTTCTGTACATCTGTAACTTATGCCTATTACGCAGCTTAGGTGTAACTTATAACCTTAAATCTTTTTTTCTGCGCAGTTCGGTTCTAATAAGCTTCTAATACGAACGCTAGATGTACTCTTGTCTGTGGCGTTCCAAGCATCGACTCCAAAGGCTTTAAGAACCTTGTTTTCGACTTCAGTAATAAACTGTGGCCCAATTACGACAGTTAAAAGAGTGATGTGTAATCTTCTGTTCTTCCTATAGAAAGATTATTGGCCTCTTTTTTTAAAGGAGTTTTTCTTATCCGTGGCTTTTCATGTGTAATCATTTAATAATCGTGAGCACCTCATGGATTAAAATTATTCTGCTTTGCCAGTGCCATTTCCCAAAAGTTGTGATGTTCCTGAAATTTCTATTTTGCATGTTAATGCATTCAGTTCTTTACTTAACAAGAAACTGGCGAGTATTATGTGAATTCGCGTGATATGCACTAAGTTTACACTTGAGCTAATGACGAAAATTAGTGAAGAGCTCATAAGATTAATTTTTTAATTTTTCCCCGAATAGAAAATTCAATTATGCTGCAACTTCCAAAATTATCTCAAAGGTACCCTTGCTGTCAAAGGGTAACGAACTTTGACGGGCTATTCATCTATTTTCATTTCAATAAAAATTTCAATAATTCATTTCTGTTTCCGCTGATTTTTTTTCAGTTTGCTAGAAAAGGATTTCTATTAGAAGTTTTGTTAGTGGAACTAGCATGTCAATTTACTCAAATATTAATGTTAGTCCTTGGCACTGAGATGACAAACATGCGATTTACCGGAGTTCGAAACCTCGATGATGATCTTGAAAAGTGTTAATTCAATCATCAAATCGGGTAGTTAGTACTGCAATTATAGTGAGTGACGCAGAACCTAGACGCCTATTGAAACTTCTGGACAGCGTGGCGTACAAGGTTGTTACCTGCACTCTTAATAGCAGTGTGAACGGTTGTCCCATTTATATTGTAGGGACGTCTGCGCCATGCTGCTTTTCGACGGAGAAACGATGTGAACCTGCAAATATTTTCAGACGTAAGATTTTGTCACAAATCCGCACAATGTGCGGTCAACAAAAATTTCAAGAAACACCATGTGTATACGAGTTCCGAACTGTTCGTAGCATTTCACGGAAATTTTCGCCAGCAATCTGGGCCAGGTGGAGGAAGGAGGAAATCCCAAGGGTAAGGTAACGAAATATCTGCCTGAATATATTTAGGTTGTTGCGAGCAGACTATTTAAATTGTTGAATGCAACTGTCGCACACATTATTAAATATGTTCGATGATTTCTTCAATGGAGAAGCTGTACAGTATAAGTAATGCATGCAAAGTTGCGAACTAGGCAAGAAAGGAATAATTGCATGCTTTTCTAGACTCTGAAAGCTGATGGTGATGAGATAGAGACGTTTTCAGATGAAAAGATGCCCGTCAAATGTCGAGGACTAAGTAGTATCTCGAAGCATACCTGTATACCTATTTATTCGATGTGTACAAAGTATCCTTACTTCTGAAGTAAAATAAAAAGAGACGCAACTACAGAAGACTCAGCTTCGTTTTAGGGAGTTTCAAAGACTTAGGAAAAACGAGCTTATGATTTCATTTGCAAAACGAGCACAAACATTGAAGCGTAAGATTCCCAATCTGGGCACTTGAATCATGATATATGCATTATTAAATGATAAGCTTGCTCCGTTTTTTCCTTTGGCAAATGACATTCACTGTGGTTAAATTTCCTAAAGGTAACGAAAATAAAGGAGATTGGAAGTAAATTAAAAAGGGCAATCAACAGGGTTCGTGACCGAAAACATGTTGACCGGGTACCGTATTCAACGGGACACCTTGAATATACCGTATGATTCGAATTTTATCGCAATTATTTTTTCAGATTTCATTGATAAATATTCAAGAAAATCTTCAATTAAATTTTTTTTAACATAGTACAGTACTGTACATTGATCGCATGAAAGAACACTTCGAAATGAAATAGAAGAAGGAATATTCGTGCACGAAGTCAAACAAAATTAGAGAATGGAATGATTCTCCAAGAGCTTTATGAGAAGACTGACCGGTAAAAGAGGAATCGTTTTGCCTTTTTTCAAAATTAATTTTTCCATACCGTCTGGTCAAAAAATGTTTTCGAATCCTGTGATTTTATATGTTTGCCTCTAGTTGGCGGGCAAAAAATAAATGGAGATTAACGGCCACACGCGTAGGAGTGTACTACTAGCTACACACCTCCTGGAGAGTAAGAGCGAGGACTTGTGAAGTGTGACCTATAACCGCCCAAATTCCGCCTTTTATACATTTCTAAGTCGTTTTCTAGGTCAGTACTGCTTTTGACACTGTCTGTCCCGTGACCTCTATTCCGATCGCGTCGTGCAGTCAACCGCTTGGGTGGTTTTCTGTTTTACTTTCAATCCTTAGCCACCATTAAAAAGTTTCAAGCCATTTACTGCGCTCGTCACAAATGCACTCTGGATAAGGGTTGGGGTTATGTGAAATCTCTGTTGAGTGAGTTTCCCTGCAGTGTTCATGGCTTTACCCCCTGTGGGGGTGGCACTCAGTGCAGCCATTGACTTCTGTGCTGAATATATATGCTCTGTCCGTCAATATTTTTTTTGCTTTTTTTCGAAAGAATATCTGGGTTACATCTATGATATCTGTAAAAATTATGAATTTCATCATCCGAAATGTTAAGCGGTTTTCTATACAAAATGAAGTCTCCCTTTTTGTCTCTATTCAACGTTCTACAATAAGGAACAGGCAATAATCATATCATTACGGCAATGTACAGAATCACTAAAAATATTTCATTGGAAGCCATTCTCAAAATTTTCTTCCCAATGAAATTTAATCGGGGTTTCCCCAAATATTTCGTTATAGGTCGTTTTCAACATTATTTCGCAAAAATTGACCAAGTATGTCTTGGTATTGTTGGAAAATTGGGAAGATTTCAGAACCCATCGCAATCATTTCGAGTTTTCAAAAATGATAAAATTTATATTGATTTGCCAGTATAACAGCTCTTGAAAATGTTTGAAACTGTTTAATAAATCTATGAGCAATTTATGTTCAAAAATGTGGAAATAAAAATCGAAGTGTTGAGAATTTCTTATAAGGATGAAAATAAGAGCTAATTTATTCGTAGGATATTTGAGCAAGTCCTGTAATATTCGGGAGGAAGCGATTCCTCCGAGGATCCCAAATAATAACCTGAGAATTTTGAAATATTTTGATGTGATTTTTAGCTATTGAAAATGTTCGAATAGAGCTTACCTGACTTTCATANAGTTTTCAAAAATGATAAAATTTATATTGATTTGCCAGTATAACAGCTCTTGAAAATGTTTGAAACTGTTTAATAAATCTATGAGCAATTTATGTTCAAAAATGTGGAAATAAAAATCGAAGTGTTGAGAATTTCTTATAAGGATGAAAATAAGAGCTAATTTATTCGTAGGATATTTGAGCAAGTCCTGTAATATTCGGGAGGAAGCGATTCCTCCGAGGATCCCAAATAATAACCTGAGAATTTTGAAATATTTTGATGTGATTTTTAGCTATTGAAAATGTTCGAATAGAGCTTACCTGACTTTCATAAATGAGGCATGGGCCAATAGATTCTGTTACTTCTAGCGGAACATAAAATTAATTGCGGCACATGAAAGGATAGCAATCGAATCTTTTGATTCAGGAGATTTCGACGAATTTCGTTATCCAATGGCTGGAGACCCACATGAATTTAATTCACGAGTTGTTGAGTAAATTGCTTTGATATTGTATTCTATCACTTAAAATTTAGAAAATGTTGAATATTCAAGTCTCGAATTATACTATGGCTGACTGATTTCATCAAACGGTTCGCTATAGACGGTCTTATTGAAAAATATTGCGTATTAAATAGAAAAAGAGCTTTAAATTATTTTGAAATTCTGTTTAACTCGTTTAATTCCCTTATTCCTCCACGTACGAAAAAAGTGATCTTTCTCGGAAGTCACATTCTACAGCATTAAATTACTTGATATCTTCATTTACTTCAATTTTTCTGGATTGATAACAATACGTGGGAAAATGCAGGCGCAGGATCCCGAAATTAATGAATTTAATCCATCAATTATTGAATCAAATCGCTTTGATAGCTTGTCACTTTCAATCAAAAATTTGTGATTATTAAAGTTTCGAATCATATTGTACGGCTAACTTATTTCATCAAATGGTTCGTTAGACGATCAGATTAAAAGATTTCGCGTATGAAATATAAAGAAGAGCTTTAAATTGTTTTGAGATTATGTTTATCTCGTTTCCATTATTCGTCCACGCGAACATACAGTGACCTTTCTCGGAAGTCACATTCTACATGATAATATCTTCATTTTCTTCCATTTTCCTGGATTGATCATACAGTGGCTGGGAAAAATGCAGGCGAAGAATCCCAAAATACCATATTCATGTTTGAAGAACTTTCATTTTGTGTGGCCTTCGAATGGATGAGTGATTTTCATGGAAAAGGGATTACTCACAGGATTGCTGTAATGCAACAAGTAGAAGACGTGACACGGCTCGGAAAAAATCCTAGTGCACGGCAAAGCGAAACTTCACAGTGGTTCTGGCAATTCTGCTCTCAGAATGCAGCAGCGCGCCAGCTTTTATGCACAGCTTGGGTGGCAGAAAGTGTGCGGTTTTAATGAGAGAACCGTCTTCTCGATTCCCCCTTAGTGGTTATGAAAAAAAATTCTGCTTGCACATATTCTGGGTACATTTTCTTTATTTTTTCCCTAGCCTGTTTTTTCTTCTTTTTTTTTGGTGCAAATGCAAGGTGAATCCTGTGTGTAAGGAAACCAACGCATGTGGATGAGTAACGAGGGTGCCCATTATCGTAATTGACTGCAAATACACGCAGAAAAAGTGTCGCATGACACCCGCGATATCTTTTAAAATTTTTGCAATAAGATTATGTGGCACTGCTTTATATACATGCGCTTTTGGAGATTATTTCTAAAAGTCATCTTCACGCTTTATCCTGACATCTTCTTAATTACCGAGCGGATTTTCGTGTTTTCTGCATAAAGCTAATACTGTATTAGGATTCCGTTATAACGAATTTTTTATTACTGTATAACGATTTTTTGTCCATGATCCTGTGCATAGATCATATGGTTCATTTGATATGTATATTATTGATTATTTATTGTATATTATTTATGTGATTGGAAACAAAAAATAAATAAATAAAAGTTGCAGCATTCCAACTTCATGAAAAAGCAACATTTTCTGCAGAGAAAACTTGGTGTTCAAAAAAATATTCAACTTTACATATTTCTTGGAAATTCAGTAGCTCCATTCAAGAGCTACTGTATATGCCTTTCTTATTCCCTTTACCGCATACAGTATGTTTGCAAGAATTAGCCTCTATCTGCAAGAACATTCATGATTTGTAAACTTGACGTTATTTAATTCAATTGACGACGGGATAACAAATGTGCTAGAAATTATGAATTTCGATACAACGAATTCTTGGTTATAACAAATTTTTTACGAAGTCCCTGTGAGTTCGTTATATCGAGATTTTACTATTTGTTCTCCTTTTTTCGGAACTCTTCCAATTTTTCTACCGTGGATGCTTCATAAAAATCGATAAATGCAGTTGTTTGAAACCGCCAGTATGTGATTTGAAATCAACACCAATTTCCCGCACATGATGAATTAGTCGCAAATTGGAAACATGAAATGAGAAACTCGACATAGCTCTTCTGTTGTGTAACAGTTTCTTTCTAATTATATCTGCCGTGATCCCTAAGAAAATCAAATATGAAAGAATTAAAAAGTATATTACGGCATTACTCATAGAAGTGAATCTGCTGAGAAGTGTCAGATAACTGAAGAATGAACGTCTATCGGTGATGAAAAATTATTCATTGTTTTTATAGCATTTTCTGGCTCTATTTGCGTATTTTGATGTGACAAAGAAGTTAACACTGTAATATGTAAGATCTCATCCCCGTAGGAAATAAACTGCAAATCTTGCCAATAATAATTGAATGATGCTTCGCGTATTTTTATTATTAAACAAAGGTGCATACCGTTCATGTGGTGCATTATTAATTAAAATGAACGTGAAATATTTTTCTGATACCCCATATAAAAAGGGAATTGGAAATGTATACTTCCTTGAACCGCTTATATTTTCGTATTTGTATCAAAAAGCAAACCCAAATGTACAACAATGTCCAACAGGGACCATCTATGGTACACCTACCATCACATTCCAGGAATAACATAAGGATATGAACATCAGGAGAAACAAAAGCAACTCACCGGGGCTTAGGAAAAAAAAAATCAATTCTGAATGTAAAATACTCTCGTCCGCTATAACGGAGAAACTAAACCGATCAATTAAGTAGACTGATGCCTGAAAATTTTCAGGGATTTGCAAATAGTCGCGTGAATATTGATCTGGCTGATGTTTCAGGATGCCTGGATTTATTTTCTCGTACTGAACCCTGCTGATCTGCCATCGGAGACATGGATGTTCTTTGGTTCATCTTTGTTTGCTGAACTCCAAGATTCATTTTTCTCTTGTTCTGTCCTCGAATTGTATGCTTGGATTCTGGCGTCAACTGGGGCCTGAAAAAATATAAGCTTGAATCAAAGCTGCATATTCAGAAAAAAATGGCATCATGCAAAAAATACGGCTGATACGTTCTAGCGATTTTTAAATTATCCACTTTTTAAGTCTTTTCTGGATACAGACAATTATCTGCAAAATAATTTATGAAATGTTTGAATTTCTTAAAGAATGGCTTCTATAAACTTTTTGTTTCGGAATTTTGTACCTTGCATGAAGCTGGATTCTTTTCTTTCTGTATGATTGCACCTGTTCAACTCAAAATATTCTATGTGAAATATTTAGTTTTAAAGAATTCTCGTTTAATTTCTCAATTATGATGTGTAATTGCCACTTTATACGCAATTCACCTTTCTGCATTGGAAAATGGTTTGCAGGGAAAAAGATAATCATATTTGTGTAATGGCATTTGGACAAGAGCTTCTTGTTAGTCAAAAGCTGCCGAAATCAGGAAATAAGCATATGTTTAAAATCATAAATATTCATTAATATGGAATGTTGTTGAGCTTGAAAAAAGGACATTCCGTTGAATTCATGGTCAAAATTCTGTGACTACAGCTTACGGTTTTTAAAAAGCAGTTAAGGACTCACTTAGGTGGTTGGGAGCCCAGTTTTGGTCCCAGTAAGCGATGCTTTTTCATGTGCCAATGATTCACGTCTTTGTCCAGCTCTTTGCAAAGCGAGTCAGACTGTGTAGTTTTGGATTTCAGCTCATTTACAAGTCGATCAGCTCGCCTCCATGCAGCAATCATTTCCTCGAGAGATAAATCGTCCAAATTTTTGCGGTACTCTTCCACTTTCCCTCGCAAATTCTCTGCCATCGCATCCTCGTCTTTCCAGTATCTTTTGAACTCTTTCATCTCCTTTGTGAACTGTCAGAAAACACAGAAACTTTCAATAAATTGATGTTCATTAATCTTGGAATAAAGTATAGTGAGGAATTTTCAGTGAATTTTACTGTTTCCCTTGAGGCTGAGCAACTCATCATTTTTTTGGTCCTCCCGCTATAAAATTAAGACTGCCATGGGCAGCGACAGTAAAATTGATCAAAATGAGCAGGGAAGTTCTTGGAATTGAAATGCCCAGTTCTCTGTATTCATCTGATCCAGCTGATGTGATGTCGCAAAGTGTAAGAGTCTCTATGGGGTTGTGCCATTTTCGTATCCTTTTAGCAAGGAGAAGCAGATCTCATGTCTTGAGAGCGAGGAAGAAAAATACAGTACAGTATACCCAATTTCTACCAAGGGCGTCTTTGAGAAATTTACATAAATACTGTTTGTCAGGTTTCTTGCTGTTGAATCGCTTGAAGTCGCTTGGAATTGAGACAGCCGTCCTAAAAATCTAAATTTTCTTCGGGAATCAGTGGAAACTTCCTCACAGGAACAAGATTTTTTCAAAATGCCCAAACCCTTTGGAGTGCAACCATTAAAAGGGACGGGAGAAAGTTTGATTTAATTTAAATTTAAACTGTTTTTTCAAAGTTCACTATCTTAAATGTCTCAAAAGTAGTTATATAGCTCCAAAACCCTTAATTTTTGTGGTCCTCCCGCCAAAAAATTGAGACTGCCATGGGCAGCGACAGTAAAAATTGATCAAAACGAGCAGGGAAGTTCTTGGAATCGAAATGCCCAGTTCTCTGTGAAGAATATTTTTTCGTCATATTTATCTGATCCACCTGATGTGATGTCGCAAAGTGTAAGAGTCTCTATGGAGTTGTGCCATTTTCGTATCCTTTTAGCAAGGAGAAGCAGATGAAATATGATGCTCAGGCTGAGTATGCATCAACCGATGACCTTTCTTTCAGATTCCGACTGCCATTTTGAGAATATTATATCGAATACAACTGCAGTCGGTGCAAGTGCGGTCTTCTCGTGTATAAAATAAATTTATACTGAATTGCTTTTAGGTCAAAGAAAATAAATTTCGGTGCTCAACGTCGGATATATTTAAAATCCCCAGTCAAAATATTTCAACCAGCGAAGTGCTCACAAATGAGAGTCACGATTAGACTTGTCAGGTATCATGATTGTCAAAGCTAAAAATTTCTTGAACCGGCTTACCTGCATTTTGCTTCAAAGAGCCGTTCTAAAGCCGTCTCAGTTCCGTAATTTTTGTACGAATTTGAACCCGGTCAATTTCAAATGTAACTCAAGGCTCAGCTGATTTAATATTTTTTAGCCAACTGACACTTAATCACAAATGAACGCGTGAAAAGCTGAACAGCATCAAAATTTTCCATCAAATTCAACCAACAACTTCAAATGCTACTGTTCCACATAGTTAAAGGACACATGGTCCGATAGACGTGTGGTGAAATCTAAATTTAGCAGAAAAAGCACTTATTTTCTCGTCATCTGAAGCGCCTTCCGGTTATATCATGCGCTTAGTCTTTTAATATTATGTCACTAAACGAAAAAAAGCTGAAATTAAGTTCATTGTCGTATTCATGAAAGGCTAGTTCAAATTGAGATTTTCTCCAGGAAAGAATCTAGTCGTATGCGTCCACTGCATGACTTGCAAAAATAGTACATAATTTTGAGGATGCTATTGGTCTGATATCTGATATGCTCATGGGCTATGAGAAATAAAAATGTTGTAATTCGAAAGCACAGTATTAAAAATTTCAGATTAACTATAGCTTCTGTCATGGCCATCAAGCGACCTGAGCACAGGTAAGTGCCGCAGGAATGGTGAAAGAAACGAGCTACAATACTGTACGATCCCGGTTTACCCTCTATCGATGAGGAACGACATCTATACAACTTGAAAGTGACTGGCGCAAGGGCGGCGAAAATTAATTCGGGTTTTCTCATTTTGAGATGTCGCTAATACGTGCGCGCAAAGTGTCCAGCTTAAATGCATAGCATTTGATTTGTAATTACAGGATTAACAGGAAGTCCGTTTTCCTCTATACTGTACCTTATCGACAATTCCAATCATTCGAGAACTAGATGCTTTCAGGTCCTGGACGCACTCTGCCAGCTGCGGCTTCAAGCTGTTCATCAAGCTGCTCATGTAAGACGGCAATTCTTCGGACGTGAGACGTTCGTGGCCGGCGTGCACGTCAACGCAACCAAGGCACAATACTTCGCAGCACACTGCACACCATAATGAAAGATTCCGATTGTGCTTCAAACAAATTCCAGAGAATGCCTTGACTGCTGCAGTTTCGTCCAAGAGTGCTCCGGATGACGCAACTCTCCGTAGTGACTGACCTGAGCTATATATACAATTGGTGAAGCCAGAATATTGAGGAAAAATCTAGCTGTTGTTCATGGTCATTTCATTCTTCGGATGCGTCTCGAGTACATTATCAGGACTGTTGAAAAATTCAAATAATCACCAACGGATACAAATAAGAGTAAGGAATGAGTTTTTGCGATGCAACTGTCCCAGAAACAGCTATAGGGTTAACGGCAGAAAGCCCTTTTGGACTTTGTTGCGGAATTCTTCAGTTTCGTGACAAAAGCTGCAGTTGAAAAAATATCCATGCAGATTCAAGTTGAAGTTATACGCTCTGATTATAGGTTTACATGTAGGCTGGCTTTTTCTTGAGAAAACGATAAAACAGATCCTAACTCATGAACAGATTATAATTGTCTTATTCACGCCATCAGCTCGTCCATCAAACATGTTTCCGCTTAGATTCCGGGGAAAAAGCATTATTAAAAACTTTCCATTGTCAGGTTTAAATCAGTCCCAAATTCAGCTCGAGGATCAGTCGATTTTCAAGCTCGAATAATAGTTTTCATTCCTCAATTATGCGTGCTACTGAAGCCTGATTCAACATGCATTCTTTGTTGATCAGAATCTGATCAATGATTAGAATAAAGTTCCTCAATCACTGGAAAAATACCCAGAATTTTCTTTTCACCCAATGCGTTCGTCGTTTCTTTACAAAAGTTGCATGTAAACTCAGATTCATGTCGTATATTGTCTCAATCGTAATAGTCTTTTGAAGCACATGAACTGTATTCTTGCGTAAAAAAACAACCGTGGCTTTCATTTAGCACAAATCACATCATGCAGTAGTTTATGAAAATTACTATGTTAATGATTATAAAAACAGAAAAATAGTCAGATTTTTCGCATCTTCCGCCTGTTTTATGCTTATGAAGAGTTAGTTTGAGAGATTCTAATAAATTCAATTTTCACTGGTTAATGTTGTCCCTTTGCTGGAAATTTCTTCCGCAAGTATAGCTCTGATTTCACTCACTCGCTATTCGTTGATTGCAGTCTCATGAACTGGATCTTCTGCAACTGCAGAATATTCAGCAAAGAAAAGTTCTTGTTCAAGTTGGAGCTGCCATTCTCCACTTCAGTGATGGTTCGACACACGGGACATGCGATCGATTTGTCCTTGCAAATGCCATCCGCGCATTTTTTGCACAGCGTGTGTCCACACTTGGTCAGAATCAGCGGAGTCTTCTCCATTGAATCCTCTGGGCTCGCATAAGCCAAAAAACACACTGGACACGTGAGTGCGTCCTCTTCGCAATGCTCGGCATTCGACAATGACCTGTGATGACCCGACATCTGCTGTTGATCAATGCCTTGCGGTGCTGGTGACTCGTGGCTTGTGGTGGTGCTGGTGGTATCCTTGTTGGTGGTATCCTTGTGGTATCCTGGTGGTATCCTTGGTGGTGATGCCGATAGACTGTTGGAAGGTCGTGGGGGCACCAATGGAGGCGTTATGAGGACTGTTGGCTGTTGTTGTGACCGCGACATGTTCGGGGTCACGTCAGATGACAAATTCACCAGAAGCGCTGTCGCAGGTTCCAATGGAACCTGTCTGAGGACTGTGGTCCAATGGGATTCTCCAAATACACCTGATGATATTAAGGGGTTCTCAAAATTTCCTTAATTTTGTCAATATAAACAGACAAAGCTGTAGAGCAATGATTTTGTTGCCAAAATTCGATCATTACAAACTTTTGATTAAAAAATAATAGAAATTTTCCGACGGTCACCCCACACGAAAAAAAACAAACATGAGAATCATGCCAAAAAAGCCGTGTTTGAATTTTCCCAGATTTAATACCACAGGGTGTCTTTTTGCTATTTTTTCAGTTTTAATTATACTTCGAAATTATTTGTACCACTATATTTTTCAAGGCTAAAGTAACCAATAAAATATAATATTTGAATGAAATGAACCTTCCCCTTGAACGAAAGTGACGGATTGGACGAATGAATTAATTTAATGACAGCCTGTGTAAGACGATGTACAGGTGATACACCTCGTTACTTAGCGGGAAAATTTTTTTTATTTTGCTTCCAAACCTTCGTGTAAAATGCCGCTTTGGTAAATAAAATTACATTTTGAAGATTACAAATCCGATCTGAAACAAATGCCATTATTCATCAAAAGAATCGTGTTACTGTATAAGACATTTTCATGGAAGAGTTTTTAAAAATTCCAATTCCTTTTTCGTACATACGGTATTTCCAACTGACTGTATTTACTTGGAAGCTTAGGTGAAATAACTTTTTTAAATAATTCATCATTCTTCCTTGCATACCACGTTCCGATTGAATACATGCACAGTTTTGCTTCTTATCCCAGCAAACGAGAATAAAGGTAATTTTTGATGCATTAGTCACTCACTGAGAGAAGGAAGATGCTCAACAAAAACGTCACCGTCGACGACTCCCACGCCGACGATTTTCGCCAACTTTCTGGTGTCCCTCCGTGGCATCAATTCTCTGGGAGACATTTGACACAAACATTTTGTATATAAACAGTGGTTTTATTGCTCTGTCAGGTAAGAGTCCTGTGAGCGATAATCTACGCGTCAACGCAGTAATGAATTCTGTGAGTGCACAGGGTGGACGCAAAAAAAAAGGACACATTTTCAGGCGGCAATCTGATGAATCTAAGGTCCGTTTGTGCTCCAAGAGAAGCACATTAAATACAATTGAATTATATTTTCACTTCAGTAAAAATTAATCGTTTTAGCTTTTGTATTTCTTGAATTGTAACATTTTCACTGAAAACTCAAGTGCGCAACTTCTGTGGGGATACTTTTTTTTTAAAGCTAATTTGTTGCTGCTCAAAAATAAAGGCGCACTTCACATTTGAGGGCGCATGGTTGAAAAGAGCATCAACACTATGCACATTTAATATTCTTCTCAAATGCTTCAGCAATTTTTATTTTATTGATCATAGTTTCAAGAAATGCGACGAAAGCAAGAAAACAATTTCTGAACAGATCTGGTTTGTTTTTCGTAAAAGAAAAAGCTAAACTGGGACAAGAACAAGGCATTCTGCCACTGCTGGAATCGTTCCTTTTTCTCTTTGGATTCCTGGCAAACCATGCATATTAAATTTGTAAAAAAAAAAAGGCACGCAACGGAGAAACATTAATCAGAATACAGTATTGTGCTGAACTGGAAATACATTGTCTGGCTAAGTGCTCGCGAATCATTCAAAGTCATGTAAAGCTGGAACAAACCCAGCAAAAACTACTTTGAATTTTTGCAAAAAATTGGGGGCATTTACTCGGTTTGGTTTTTTTTAATGCCAAAATGTACCGGTAATATCAATAAATGGAACAAAAACATCGAATATAATTTACAGTATTTCTTGAATAGGTTTGTACGTTGCATTTTACGCTTTTTCAACGGAATAGCGCAAACCATTATATAAGGACATTTGCCTGTTCGAAATTCTGTCTTATTGTTTCTGTCCGCCAGCATATTCACGACACTCTTATAAATAAAGTTGAACCAAAAATAACTGGAACCTCCCTATAGGTAATTTTTTCAGATTCAAGAAATAATTTAAGGCCCAGAACATCACCATTCACAGTTTCCTGCATTTCTTCTATACCCACAGTAAATAGTTGTTTCTCTGACCCAAATCCTCTCCCTAATTTGAAAGTCAAAGTTTGTTGCTGGTCCCCAAAAATTTGACTTGGAGAGGTTCGACTGCATTGAAATCTGAAGGAGGAATTTGGAAGCGTAAAAATATCTACTTTTGGAAAACTCTCGACGTGCTTGATGGGAAATTTCTAAAAAAAAAGCGATATTTCGTTGAAATTGAAAAAAACCCAACCGACGAGGCATTCGCGTTTCACGATATCAGCTCAAATACCAATAATACCCGACCATGTGTTTCGGTCGTTAATCTTTTACGTACGTGGTTCCGTCTTCCCAACGTCTCAGACGTAATATCACATGAACGCATGCATTCATCACATATCACAAGATAAATCCAAGAGACGAACAGCAGGAAACGAACCTGCTTCTGATGGTGGAATCCGTGAAGCGATAGAAGAGATGCGCTCCAGCGGAATGGCAATTTTTCATGTAGCAAATTGTGCACATCCAGCAGTCGCTGCACCTTTGGCTAACGGTGTCCTCTGGGTGCTAGCCGTACTACGGTGTAAGCACCGTAGCAAAAACGCCTACTCAGCATAGACACGCTTTTACTTTGTACCTTTCCTGTACGTTACGTACCGTAGACCTTGTAAAGAAGTAGGATTATAAATGACTCGTTCCGCCCGCCATATCGAGACTCCGAAGAAAAATTGTACTGGAAATCTGAAATTTTCCTTGCTGTGTCTGTTTGAAAGATGTGGAGCAAGGAATATGCTTTTTCTTGTGCATCTTCACCTTTAATTCATTCAAAATCGAGTTCAAAGCATTAAGGCACGAATCAAGTCCGTTGATTTTTTCATGTCAATAATTCCGCCCTTTTTCGGTGGGGTTTCATATACATTTGAGGAAATTTTACTCGAATCAGACATGAGTATCAATTTTTAAAAAACTGCACACATATATTTAAACATATATTTAGTCAGAAAAGTTTAAGAGACCTCGTTTTCAAAGATATTTCACATCATATCCACGTCTAGACCGAGTTAGTTTACTCCAACTCCTCAGGAGCTCCGAGAATGTCTGCGCTGACACAAGTCATCAGAGCTCTTCTGACGACGTAAAGTACTTACGCATGAAACTTTGATGTAAGACAAGGATGTAAGGTTGTTTCATTTATTTCTTTTGGGAAATACGGGGGTGAATCTGCCTGGGGTGTATATAACGAGCAAAGAGGAAAAATCAGAGGGTTTTCATGCAAGAATATGGAATAAAATTTTCAAAAGTTTTAGTGACATTCGCTGCTTATTACGCTTATTGCGACGCAGTTGAAAAAAATGCTCATATTCAGCAATTCAAATGTTTCCAATGAGACGATGGTTCTACTGTAGGTGATTCTCGGGTATGAGTTTTGAATTCCTGGGAATTGCGTTGTGATGAGATTTGCATAACGAATTTTCGAAATGATACAAAATATTTTCGTCTAAAGCACAGCGTGATCAAGTAGAATGTAGATCAAAAGCTAGATTATATTGAATCCTATATAGGTGCATGAGATAAACGATTTTTTAAGGTGTTAAAGCTTGGAATAAAAACTTTTATTGCTAGGGAAATAAACGTGACACGTTCATCTTTAAACTAGTAAACTTCTACTAGACACCGCCTTGGGCAGGGTGTCAGTCTCATGTGACTACACACGACCCACGCATTCTCAAATATCGTATACGAGTATGTTCTATCGACTTCCGGGTACATTCTTCTTTAGGAAATTTTTGTAATGGAACTCGAAAATTGATCGAAATCTCGTTCCGTTTCTAGAGAACATGTACATCCAGAACCATTTTCGGCCAAGCAGTGACGTTTCAAGAAATACGAAAGCTGAAAATGTGAACTCGAAAAGTCGAAATCAACCAAACGCGAATTTTCTTATGAAACCAAGCTGCGTGTAATATTTATGTATCTCCGAACATGGTTCCTTGGAGCACAATTTGAAATAAAAAGATTCATCGCTAATTTTTTGCCGAAGAAGAATGAAAAAAAGGAATTCATATAACGCAATACCGTATTGGAAAAGCGGTGAAAGCTGAAAAACTGGATTGAAACTCGAACATCGGATAACTTCACGGGCTTCGAAATTGATTCAATAATATATATGATTTCATGAGAAATTGTGGTGATATGGTTTTATCAAAATTTTGAATATACACACAAACATTTACACATTTACGACTTATCCCTCCATTGTAAAGCTGAAGATTGAAAAACGGAAGGAACTGACTTCCTTGGATCAATTTAGAGATGGTTTTTGGCTTGTTTTTAATGAAAATTTGAGGTCTTAGTCGAAGTTCAGCTTTAGAAGTTGAACTAATGATCTTTGAAGATGCAGGTGGAATCTCTCTACAACGAAATTTTAAAGCAACAGAAAAAAATCGTTGTACAGTAGAACCCTTATAACATGGAAGTCGGGTGAAAAATAGTTTCATGAGAGAAAATCGTTGTAGACTAGATCGTTTTAGAGAGAGAGAGAGAGAGAAAGCCTGTACGCCTAAAAATCTTCTGGGCAACGAAATATTAATTTTATACACTGCTGCAGTCCTGCTACAAAATTATCCGAATTTCAATATACTGCTACTCACTTCTGTTGTTGTAAACACGGAGTCCAAAAGTTCCGTTTTCTTTCACAAGCACCTGTTGCGTCCCTATTTCATTGTCCCATTTTATCTCGATGTACTCGTCGGTAACCTTGGCCACTCGACCGAGTGGGAGTGGCGTCCCGGCGACGCCGCCGCCGTCCCTGACCACCTCTTGTCCAACAGTCGGTCGCATTTCAGCTGCACCCTTAGAACCAGGGCTTCTCCACGCATTGTAGAGGCAGGATCAAGGAAAAATCCGTCTTTGCCATTTAAACCCTGGAACTCGGATACCAAGCGTATGCGTGTTACAACATTGCATGACCTTCAAAAATTAACCTTAGGCTACAATGTCTCCTTATTGTGATCTTCAAGTGTTCTGAGATATAACTGTATATAGGATCCCTAAATCAAATAAAAGGTTCCGGATTTTCTTTTAATTAGGATGCAGTTTCAAATGCATCCTAATTAAGCTGTAAAGTGGTACCTAGCAATTTGACCCTAATCTGTGGCTGGACTAGGGTCAAATAGCAAAGTGGTCAAATTGCGAGACAATGTCAAATGGCATGTTTTCTACATGGCATTTGATGTTTCATGTCTCACCACAGGTCAAATCACGCAGAAGAGGTCGAATTGAGAGTTGACCTCCGAGAAAATTCAATTGTCAAATTGTGGAGTGTTAAAATTGCGGTAGGTCAAATTGCAAGGTACCACCTGTATCGCCGTAATTGAAAAAAAAACTCTGGACTCCTGAGTTTCTTGCAGTTCTCTACATAATTCTGACTGCTCTATAGTTGAAAATAAAATTCTTGCATGTTGAAGATGAACAAACATTTTCTAAATCTGATGAAACTGTTTAAACTCTGTTCTTTCTGTTTATTTCGGGTTTTGACGAAGACTTGAAAAAAATCTATGCACCCTGTGAGTATATTTCATGAGTTGGAAAGTTACCAAAATTATGGTAAAACTCTTATTTTAATTTGTTGTTCCATCCTGATCCAAATTTATTTCGGGTTTTGACGAAGACTTGAAAAAAATCTATGCACCCTGTGAGTATATTTCATGAGTTGGAAAGTTACCAAAATTATGGTAAAACTCTTATTTTAATTTGTTGTTCCATCCTGATCCAATTAGAATGTGCATGGAATGAAAAGTTTTGACGCTTACAAATATTACTGCACACCCAGTTGGAGAGCACAGATAAGAGATTGTAAAACGGCTCATATAACTAAGCAAAGTTGGAACATTCCGCGCATTACAAATGAAAA